ACACACACACACACACACACACACACACACACACACACAGCATCTAGTGGCTGTATGCAGGCTTCTACGCACCCCAAGCATCTCTTTTGCTCTTTTTTCACACTCTCCCACATCCAGGTCACCAGTTGATGCCTCCTGGCTCGTGTCTTCACTGTCCTGGGTACCTGCTGGTTCTGGCAAGGCTTCCTCTGTGCCTGAAACGACAGATATGTTCCCTTCCCACAGTGTGTCTACCATTTGGTGTCCAAGATCTAGATTTAAGAGCTGGCTTCTCTGCCCACAGTCAAGACCCTGAAGTCCAAAATGGGGATGGTCCCAGGTCTGGACTCCAGGCCTGACCCTCGGTCCCCAGTCACTCACCTCCCCTAGCTTCTGTAGCGCCAGATGATGGCTGCGGTTCTGTGGCACAAGCCAGGACTGACACTTGCGCTGGTGGGGGTGCTGACCCCTGTGGCTGGTCCTGGGTCTTCTCTGATGTCTGCTCCTGCATCTGTTCCGAAGGCTGCTCCTGCGGCTGTGCTTGGGCGGATACCTGTGGATATGTCTGTGTCTGGGCCTGCGCCTGCAGCTGTACCTGCCACAGGGACTGAGGCTGGGTCTGTTTCCTGCAGCTGCCCCTGCCATGGGGGCTGGGAATGTACCCGTGGCTGTACCTGGTTCTGCTGTGGTGCTAAGTGCTCTGGAGAGGTCTGGGTCTGCGCCTGCTTCTGCAGCCTTGGCTGCACCTGGGCCTGATGCTGCAGAACCTGGGGCTGCAAATGTGTCAGGACTTGGGCTCCTGGTGGCTCAGGCAGTCGATCTGGGGTCTGTGTCTGCTTCGGTGCTGTCATCTGGGTCTGAGGCTGGACCTTTGCTTGTGGCTGCCCTTTAGGCCCTTTCTCTGTGGCCTCCTCTGAGCTAGGAAAGATCCAAAGATAATCAGAAAGCCAGGTGGTGGTGTCCACACCTTTGCTCCTAGCCCTAGGGAGGCGAAGACAGGAAAATCTCTTTAGAGTTGGAGAGCAGCCTGGTCTACATAGTGAGTTTGGGTCAGCCAAGGTTGTCTCAAAAAACCAAACAGGAAAATCAAAGAAGATCAAAACTGTATCTTTCGAGAGGCCTATGACCCAGGTCCTAACTCGTTCTTACAGTGGGGGATGGAGGAAGCTCTAAAGCTGCCCAGGCCTGTTTCACCTAAACTCAGGGCACCGACTCTCCACCTTGTAACGTGTCTTGAATTAATCCTCCAAACCTAGCAGCACCCATGCACTCTGCAAGGACCCCCTTGCTTCTAGCTGCCCGGCCTGGCCTCCAGGTGGCTCACACCCAGGTAGACACAGGGCTGAATCTGACCCTCCCCCCAAGCCAGAGGCCTAACTTCAGAGCCCCAGCATGTGGCAGCAGCATTTACCTCTTTGTCCTCTTGGCTGGTGGTTCTGTTGCCTCAAAGGGCTCAGGGTCAAGCTCTGGGGTCTCCATGTCATCTGTGCAGATCAGCGAATCTTGGTCTGCAATTGAGGCAGCACAGCTCCAGGAGATGGCCCTAGTCACTTGCCACCAGGATCCTCCCTGCCCTGATGTCCCTGTGTCTCTCACCTTCAGGTGTGTCCATCTGGAGCTCCACGGCCTCTTCAGACCCCTCTGTGGGGTCCTCCCTGTCTCCCAGAGGCACTGTCTGGGAAGAAGAATCCTGCTTCCTTTTAGAATCCATTTTTTAACCTCCCCCTCACTTGCCAACACCCCCTGACCGAGGGACTGAAGGGTAGATGACCTGAAACATCTCAGGAGTCATTGTCTCAGGTGCCCATCTAGCTGCCTGCCATTCAAATCTGGGTTGGATACCCACAAAATCTCTTGGCTCCCTTGGTCATCTAGACTTCCCACTTCCTGTTCCCTAAGGAGCCCCAAGAGCCTTTGACCTAAACCCTCAAAGGCTTTCTAGTCCTGGGAGTCTCCTAATCTCAAGCCAGGAACTGTCCACTCCTCCCTTCTTCTGCACCCCCCACCAGCCTTCCTTCTACCAGGAGCCTGACTCTGTGCATCCTCACTGGCCTTTCTCTGGTCAAACCCCCAGCCTTCAGAGCTTCTTGTGGGGAGCTCCTAACCATAGGCTAGGTCCAGACCCTTTTAGTGGGCTTCCCGATTTTTGTTACTGCCATCTATCTGAGACAGGGTCTCCCTAGTTCCAGTCTTAACTGCTTTGTCTTCACACACTCAGGACCCACAGAAAGACCAGGACAGATGCCACATCTGCACTGCTGACCAACCACACAGCTTTCCTCCCTGCTCCCAAGGCCTTCTGCCCTGGTGAACACATGTGTAACCCACACCAGAACTCTTGGCTCTTTACAAACTACTCAGCTCTTGCCCTGGGAGACGCATGGAGTCAGTTGTAGTCTTCCTACATGTAAAACAGGAGTGCAGATAAGCCAAGACTCTGGTGTGCCAGGCCTAACCCCAAGGATACAGGCTGAGCCCTTCTCTGCAGGAAAATGCCTTCCTACAGATGTGGAGGACGAAAGCAATTAAGTAGGGAGCATTGTTCATGCCCAGCATACACCTGGGAGTGGACCTTGTACAAAGAGCTGCAAGAACATGCAGGGACATTGTGAGAGTGTGTGTATGTCTGTCCAGGAACATTTTGTGTGTGTGTATCTGTCTGTCTGTCTGTCTGTCTGTGTTTTCTTCTGTGAATCTAAGTCTTCTGCATGTGGTAAGATGAACCACTGAAGCCATTGGACCCACCAGACAGCAGCTGGGGACGTTAGATGTGGCTGTGTGAATACCATGCCTTCCCAGGACTCTATGTATGAGGATTACATATTTTTGGAACTTTTAGGCAGTGATAAAATTCTTCCTTATCCAACACCCCAAGCCTGTGCTCTACCACTGAGCCACACCCTCGCACTGTAAAGGTGACATTCAGAATTGCCTGTCCCACACAGTGGCCGGCAGCCTCAGGGAGACACCTGAGATGCGGACTCTCAACTAAGGCGGGAAGCTTAATGACACAACAGATAGTGGACATTTAGTGGTTTGGGCAAAATGGGGCATGGAGAAATATACTGGTAGTTTTATGAATTTGGGAGGCTGAGGCAGGAGGATCAGTTGCTTAAGCCAAGATGTTTGAGTTCAGGCTGGGCAACATAGGGGACACAAAAGCATTTGAAGTTTAGGAGGTAAGATCTTGTTTCTTCAAACAAACAAGCAAACAAACAAACAATCATCAATCAATCAGCAAGAATTCTTATTTTATTTATTTATTTATGTTTTTTTTTATTTATTTATGTTTTGTTGGTTTTTTTTTTTCTTTTTTGGGACTGGGCTTCTCTGTGTAGACCTGGCTGTCCTAGAACCTGCTGTGTAGACCAGGCTGGTCTTAAACTGGGACATCCACCTGCCCCTGCCTCCCAAGTGCTGGGATTAAAGGCATGTGCCACTACCACCCAACTAATTTATTTATTTTTAATATAGGTCAAATGGTATCTTTTTAAAATATTAGATTTTAAATATTAAATAATTTTAATTATTTAATAATTAAATTTAAATATTAATTAAATTTAAATTTAATATAATTTTAAATATTAATTTTAAATATTAAAATGTTAGTAAATTTTACTGTATTTTATTCATTTTTGTTTGATTGTTTTGGGACAGCTGGCCTAGAACTCACTATGTAGCTGAGGATGACTCCGGAACCTTTGGTGCCATCTCCAGAGTGCCGGGATTTTCAGTGTACATTACTACACTTGGCGGTATAATTAACTTTATCTGTTCCTTTGAATTTATTTAAATTTTTAAGGTCTTTCTCCATTGCTCAGATGGCTGGAATGTGCAGCCATTTTCTACCCCCGCCTCCCAAGTGTTGGGGTTAGGGTATCAGTTATCATACCTTGGCCTTTCAGTCTTATTAATGTGGTTATTAAATCTTTAAAATCATATACATGACTCAAGCTTTATTCCACTAGCCATTGCTGATGTAAAGAGCAGTGAGGTGGTTCAGCAGGTAAAGGCATCTGGCACCAAAACCGATAGCCGGAGTTCCGGTCCTAGGACCAAACAGTAGAAGAAGAAAACAGACCCACACAAGGTGTTCTCTGACCTCCGCATGCCCACCTTGGCACATGGAAAATAAATGATAATGATGAAGTAAGAAAGATTAGCTGGGTGGTAGTGGCATACTTTTTTAATCTCAGCCCTTGGGAGGCAGAGACAGGCAGGTCTCTGAATTCCAGGCCAGCCTGGCTTACAGAGAGAGTTCCAGGACAACCAAGGCAAAGAAACCCTCTTTCAAAAAACCAAACAAATGAACAAATAAACACCAACAAAGAAAAATTTTAAAGAGAGAAATAGTACATAGATAATAATAAAGTGGTATTTGGGTATGGCTAAAGTCCCATTAGGGGCACAGAGGTATTTGAAGTTTGGGAGATACTAGACACCGCCACCTTCATCTTACAGACAAGGACACTGAGGCACAATGAGGGAGCACGAGCTGCCCAAAGGCCAGGTGAGCCCAAACATATGGAGTCAAGCTGACACTGGGGCACCCTTCACCGACTCCTGCCCTGGCTCTACCCAAAGCGCGACTCACCTTGTGATTGGGGGTGGCGGAAGGAGTTCTTGCCTGTTTCTGGGAGTTTCTCCCTGAGTGGCTGAGCTGAGAAGGGTTCATTGGGACCCCAACAGGAGGAGGGCCCAGCAGTGACTGGCGTGTGGCCTGCGGAAAGAACTGTTGCAGATTTGGGGTAACCATCTGGGGAGGGGTAAGGCTGGGTGCTGCTAGGCTTGGGGCCGGCATGTTGTAAGCACGGAGGTTGCCTGTGGGGAAGAAAAGGTGAGAGGAGTCACACCGTGGCCCCTCAAAGGCTCATCGGAACATCAGAGACAGTGTCCGAGGGCAGCAGAGGGAAAGTGAAGCCAAGCTGAGGCCTGCTGTGGGCACTAACGAGAAAGGGCTTCCAGCTGTGTGTGTGGGAGACCTGCCCCAGCTAGCCCTCAGAAATGCTGCTGGAAGACCCTTTGAGGGACCCAGCACATGCCCAGAGAAGAACCAGCAAGCTGATGTTCCACACTTTGGCCCCACCAGCTTCTCTTTATCAATGAGAGGGAAGCTCCTCATTGGGAGTTATAGGCAAGGCATTCTTGTCACTACAGCCCTCTAGCCGGCCAGGTACCAGGGCAGATGTGGCTCTTTCTGTAGATGACAAACATAGATCTCTGAGGGACACCTGTTAGCTGTCGCTCCTCCTCACCCTACCTTCCACAAACCCAAGACCTCTATCACACATGTGCCTTGTGACCAGGCTTCCCACCTCCTGAAGACACTTCATCCCTCCCCGGAACTGCACAAACAAGATCTCTCTAGAGCTACACTCTGACCTCATCCCCTGCCCAAAGCCTTCTACAGTTCCCTGTTCGGTAACGAAGTCGGCTCGCAGCAGGGTCTGGCCCTGCCGCCCCTCACAGGCTTCACACTGAGCTCTAGGAACATAGCCTTGTGCAGTCCCTCAGCCACCCTGCCTCTGGGCCTCGGGGCATGCTGCCCCCCCATGTGGAAGCTGCTGTGCTCCACCGACTCCCAGTATCCTTCAGACTTCCCTTTATGTCAGGAGGCCTCCTGTGATATCTGTTTCCCTGAAGACCTCTATCCTAGGTCCAACCACCTTATTTCCTGTGACATCTCCTCTGACTCAGCTTTTTACCCAGGGACGGCCCCAAGTGTGGAAGAGAGCTGCCATCCAGGCTGAGGTTCAGGGGCTGTGCAGGGGAGGGCAGTGCAGGTTAAAGGCACAGATCAGCTGTATTGAAAGCTGAGATCAAGTCCAGACTCTATGGCACAACCTCTGGGACCTGGAGCAAACCATTTCCCCCTCCTCTTATCTGTCGAACGAGGCTTCAAAGTTATGAACTAGCGTATCTGATAGACAGGTATAACAAAGACATACACAGTCGCAGAGACCCACCAGCTCCCATACACAACAAGATGAAAGACAGAATGCTCTCAAACAGAAATGGACAAAGGACATGGACAAGTCACAAAATGAAATGCAAATGTTTAATGGATAAGTGTAAAAATATTTTGGCTGCACTCACACAATAAAGTGTAAATTAAGACATTCAAGACACAGCCTTAGCCTTTGCAAACCAACTTAGTAAATTATATGTACATATACAGTTATACAAGTTATATATAAGAAAGCATAGAATACCCAATGCTGCCGTGGGCATGGTGAGGCCGGCACTGTCATACGCGGCTGGTGGCATTGCAAACTGGTCCAATCCTTAGGAAAGTAATTTGGCAACACTTATCAAAAGTCATCAAACATCCATCCCCCGATTCAGTCATTCTATGTTGGGAATCTAATATGAGAAAAGAGTCTCAAATGTCATGTTCATCCCAATGGTATTTAGGATAGAAAAGAGACAACGAGAAGCGGGGCGGGCAGATAATTGAGGTTTCCATAAGGGCACATTCCTCTAGTAAAAAATTAAACCTACCACAATATCCTGATTGAACCAAAATTCTGCTCATACCTATAATCCCAGGTGTTGGAGGATGAGGTAGGAAGACTCTTGTGAGTTCAAGATCACCCTAGCTTACATAATAAGTTCCAGGACAGCAAGAGACAGAGGCAGGCAATCTCTGTGAGTTTGAGGCCAGCCTGGTCTACATAGTGAGTTACAGGACAGCTAGGGCTACAGAGTAAGACCTTGTCTCAAACAAATAAACAAAAAACGAATCCTAACACAGGAAAACAAAAAAGAAACATGACATAGATCCTTTCTTGTATTAATCATAATAATCATATCCAAGCTCCTTCCCAGAGAAAACAACAGAAAGACCTATACCAAAATATTGGCTGGTGACTCTCCCGGAGATGAGTGACTGCTTTCCTATTGCTGGGGTTATTGTTGTTTTCAAAGGCTTTATTTTTCAGTATTTATTTTAAATTTTAATTTATGTGTGTGTGTGTGTGTGTGTTTAGGTACCATTATGTTGTATATGGGAGAATGGCCCCCGAGGCCAGATAAAGATGACAGATCCCCTGGAGCTGGAGTTATAGGCATTGTGAGTTGCCCCATGTATAGAGTATTGGATTCTAACTTGGGTCCTCTGGAAGAGCAGCAAGGTCTCCCAACCACTGAGTCATCTCTCGATCCCCTTTGGGTTTTGTTGTTTTCCTGTTTTAACACATTATTTTCATTATGAGAAGCATGACTTTTTAAATGGGAAAAGAAAAGATGGCATCTATATGTACACATTGTGACCCACGATGGGATTTTTCTCTCCCCAGCTATCCATGTGTCATCTGACAGTCAGCTCAGCGGACTGTCCACACTGTGGTCTTGTAGGGCTGCCAAGTGACGGCCATCTAACCAGCTTCCACCTGTGTTGTACTACAGGCAAGGGACTCAGGTTGCCATTGTTTTCATTTGTAGAGGGGGTTTTGGGTGTACCTCCCATTACAGCTATCAATAGAATCAGAAGGAAGGGCTAAGATTCCTCCCCACATAAGGAAACTGAGGCAAGGGCACAGGCTTCACACTCAAGACCTGAGACAGGGATTCAGGGAGGCAGGGCTCAGGTCTGGCAGGATGCCGAGTGACCCAGGACAAATACCATGTAATCTTGATGACAGCGGGTTACGCTGAGCACTGCCCCCCAAAAAAGGCCAACTCTGTTTGATAACTGCACTTAGCAGAGAAGCCTGCGGACTTTGTGTCCTCTCCGTAAAGACGCTCAGGGTCACTGTGTGAGCTGGGAAAACTGAGTGGGAAACTGAGGAAACGGGACGCTGAGAACTACCGGGACGCTGAGAACTACCGTACCTTGCAGCTGCTGAAGTAGCAACGCTCTCTGCAGCATGGAGCCATTGAGCAGGGAGGCGGAGTGGGTGCCCTGGAGATTCAGAAGCTGTTGCGGGGACGACTGCTGAGGGAGGCCCCTGTGTGGTGGAACGGGAGGGTCAGAGGGTTGGTGGGAAAGCCGTCCACCTGGAGACCCCTCCGAGGTGGAAACTGACGACACTTAACACTCAAACAAGGATGCCCCTGGGGCCGCGAAACAGGGGTCTGAGTGCGACCACAGCCTCCGCTCTTCCAGTGGGCAACTCACCGGCTGACAGGCATGGGCAAGGGGGCCTGCGGTGGGGACTGCTGCAGCAACTGCTGGAGCTGCAGTAACTGCTGCTGCTGTTGCAACTGCTGCTGCTGGAGCTGCTGCTGCTGCAGCTGCTGCAACTGTTGCTGCTGCTGGAATTGTTGGTTGAACATGGTTGCTGAGGGAAGGTGGGTAAGGTCAGGTCACCATTCTAGGTCAATCGAGCCCCTCCCCTCCCAAAGCACCCACCCTAGCCCACAGACGCATACTGTAGGCTAGGCTGTACACTCCCAGCCCTGTCAAGAATGACACTTTTGGACCCCGGCGCTTTCAGTTCTGATCAGCTGCCGAGAACAATGCTCTTGCCTGTAGACCTCTCTTCACTCCCATCTCTTCAACCCTGACGGTTCCACCCTTCCAACCCAAGAACACCTTCCCACCGCCCCACAGCCCCCACCTTTTGTCTCTCTCTCCCGTACTCAGCACTTTTTGGCGCCAGCACCTCTCCAGACACACCCCCCGGTTTGGGGTTCAGCTGCCCTATCCCTATGTGGTGTCAATTACACCAGCACCCACGCCCAGCCTTCCACTTAAATTAGTGAACCCCGGACAGGAAAAGCTTCCCTCCACTACAATACACCCCTACGTCCCTCCACTGCCCCTCATTCCTCCACCCCCTTTCCCCGCAGATATATTCAACACCAGGCATCTGATCCCGTGGCCTCGCCTGTCCACAAAGCCTGCAGCCTCCATACAGGTAGCCACTACCCCTGCAGTCCACTCTACCCGGGTGCCCAGCCCTCCACAGAGGCTTCCAGGGCGAGCACCACGCAGGTTCCCCTCACCTCTCAGCAATCCACGAAGGCGGAAGACGAGAAAGTCACCCGCGGAATTGACGGCGCGGACTCGCCGGTTCGCGGGCTCCTCGGGACTCCGCAGTGGCTTGGCCACTCGGAAGGCCCGGCGGCTGGCCAGTCCTGCGCGGAGCGCCCTCTAGAGGACCGGAGGGCTCACCGCAGCCGCCGCCGCCGTGGGAACCTGCTTCGCGCGGGTCAAGTCCCGGGGGCTGCGTCCGCTCATCAGTCGCTGGAGCCACGGTGGCTACCAGATGCCAGGATGCGCAGGGCAGCGCAGACTCTGGGTTCCCAGGCCCCGGAATCGGGAAGGGGCGATTCTGAGCTCCCAGGCTCGTCTGTTTATCCGGCAGGAGCATGGCGGAGGACTTCTAGGAGGGTCAATTCGCAGCCTACCTCCCGAGGTCACTACTGTCCGTCCGGTGATCCTGAACCCTTGTGGGACTGGGACAGGAGCGAGCTGGCGTGAAGAGTGTTATGCTCAGATCGCGGAGTCCCCCCAAAACCAACTAGGAGACCGAGTCCTATATGCAAAAGCAAAGAGCCTTTATTCGTACACAAGGTTGCAAACTCGGGCTCTCCACGTGTCCAACGTCTTGTAATGATCGGAGAGCCCCAGCTCAGAGTTGGGTTTTTGTAGTAGCAAAGGTGGGGGTGAGGGATTTCTAAGGTTCAGGACCCCTGATTGGCTGACAATTGTCTAGGGGTGTCCTGGTGAAAAGCGATGGGTGTGTGCTGGCAGGTGACCCTATCTACAACGATTGGAACGTTAGGAATTTCCTTTGGATGATCTGTTCCTGGGTGGTGCCTGGATAGTCTCAGTTTGTGGTCTTTCTTGCAACCAGGTATCGCCTTAGGGAAAACTACTGAGACTCAGGCCTCTTTTGAGCTTGTCATGGCTGAGTCCTACAAAGGGAGTGAGGTGTGTGTGTGTGTGTGTGTGTGTGTGTGTGTGTGTGTGTGTGAATTCAGTTTTTCTTTTATAGTCTTGTTTTTTAAAGAGTTTTGTGTGTGTTTTGTTTGTATGTATATCTATATATCATGTACGTCCTGAAACTAGAGGTACGAACATTTGAGAACCATCTTGTGGGTACTAGGAATTGAACCCAGGTCCTCTGCAAGAACGAGTACACTTAACCATCTCTCCACCCCGCCCCCATTTTATTTAGGTTTATTTTTATTTCATGTTTCCTGCATATGAATGTTTTGCCTGTATGTACGTGCATGTACTGTGTTTGTGTGTGTACTGTATACGTGTATGTGGGGGGGGGGGTGCCTAGTGCCCACGGAAATCTAAAGAGGACATCTGTTCCTCTAGGAAGTGGAGTTTATTGGTGGTTGTGAGCTATCAAATGGGTGCTGGAAACCGAACCTGGGTCCTCTGGAAGAGCAACAAATGTTCTTAACCACTGAACAAGCTCTCCAGCTCCTGATTTTCCTTTCTGTTTCATTATGTAAACGTGGCTGGCCTGGAACTCACTTTGTAGACCAGACTGTTCTCGAACTCACAGAGATCCGCCTGCCTCTGCAATCAGTACTGGCCCAGTTAAAATTTTGTTTAATGACTCTCTCATCCTACACCTAGAACTCCCTCATCCCAAATAGTTTTGGCAATGTCATTTTCCTTGTCTGTTCCCTGGCTCAGGGTCATTCCCACACTTTGCACCAGCGCACACCTTGAGGACTGGCCACACGGTGGCGCTAGGTACATCAGACACCAAATCCCGATCGCTGCAGTCAGGTGACTGCTCTGTCCGCTAGGCTCTGGACTGATCTTCGTGCCACTGGCACAGGTGCCAGGTCTTCTCACTCCACCTGGGCCTGTTGAGCCCTGGGCCTGTTGGGGTTAATTGCGCCAAAGTGTTCAACCTGGCGTTAGGATAGGATAGCCGCGGCTGGGAGATGCGTGTTTAGGAAGCCTGGGTGGTGGGGCTGAAAACGGCGAGCTGAGAGGATGGGCTTCATCCTTGAGGGACAGGGGTATTTAGGAAGGGAGCAAGTGACAGGAGTAAGTCCATAGGTCGGAAAATGCCCGTCAACCCAGCACAGCACATGGGAGGCAGAAGCTGGAAGATTGCTAGCTCCAGGCTATCTGGGACTGCACAGTAAGATCTTAGGTCAAAATAACATCATGATTTTAAAGTAAAAGAAAACGCACTCTGGTTTGGTCGGGCATACTGGCCACTGCCTATAAGCTTCTTGCAAGAGGGACAGAGTGGTATAATCGCGAATCCAAAGCCAGCCTGGACTAGTGAGACGCTGTGGCAAACAAACAAACAAATGCTTCAGCCTGGTGGGAACCCAGGCGCAGGGAATGAAGAAGTCAGGGTTTTGTTTGTTTTTGTTTTTGCTTTTTTTCCTTCTGGTTCTGCGGCCCTGAGGGACTGAAGGAGTCTTCTCCGCTGGTTTCTTGATTTACAAAATAAGTATCCCCTCCTGTAGGTGTTTGTGAAGATGACATTACATAATGCTTAGCACTGACGCCGGCACACGGCAAGCTTAGCTAGTTGCTAAAGTGAAAACACTAAAAATAATGCTGGTGCTGGCGAAGATGGGAAGCCAGCGCGAGCTGAGTGCGCACGCGCATCTTTCAGGCCCGACTCTGCAAAGTGTTTATCAAAGCTCTAGCACCCTTTGCCCTTTGCCCGACTAACCCCCTTGTAGGAATGTAGCCCAGGAAAATGGTCAGAAAAGACTTTAAAACCAACAGGTTTGTCCCTGGAAACGTTATGTATATTAACAGCCTGGAAAACAGTCAACTTCGGAGGGAAAAACTAAATAAGCCATAGTGTCTGCCTCTCAAATAGGAAGCACACAGCCATCAGAAATTATTTTCAAATGTTATTAAACATTCACAATACGACATGGTGTGAACTCAGCAGCTCTCAAACTCCATATCCATTATGAGCTGAGCTTTGTGGGGCAGGGAATAATAGTGTGTAGCCGGCTAGAGGAGAGTTTCACTCCCCGGCCCCCTCTCTCGCCCCAGTTTGCTATGGTTGGTTTGGTTGGTTTGGATGACTTTGATCATGAGAAGAAAGGCTTTCTTTTCCTTTCCTTTTTTTTTTTTTTTTCTACTTTAATACGTGCGATCTCAAGCCTTGAAGACCAGCTGGGGCCATGGGTTGGAGGGCTTTGGGTCTACTTTTGGGGGCTAATTATCTTTGTTCAACCTCAGGCAGAATTCCCCCTCCCAATATATATGTGTATGTACACATGTGTACATGTATGTATGTATGTGTATATATATATGCATATATGTATTTGGAAAGAAAAGACCTTCCCTGTGGAAGTTGAAAAAAAAAACCTGTTGAAATTTCTTTCTTACCGCTTAACTTTTACTTTTATTACTAGTGTGCTGTGTGTATAGTGTTGTGAGTATATATGTGTGTGTGTATTATATGCAGGTATGTGTGTCATAGTGTAGAGTCAGCTCTCTCTCTCCATCTCTACATGGGTTCTGTGGATCCGACTCAGGTCACCCACTGTTGCAGCAAGCATTATTGCCCAGTGAGGCACCCTGGGCCCTTGCAACTGAGTTTTGAAAAGTCTCTTTATCACGGAATTCCCATACTCAGTGGATCTATGTCAACACCAGCTCCTTCTGGTTATGTCCAATGTACTATGAAATCAGAAAGTAAATACAACTCGCCAATTCTGGGTCCTGTATTTTTTTTCAAATGGAATATAGAATTTTGTTAAACCTCTTGCCGCCTTTAAAATCCAACCAGAAGTTTGACTGATATTGTATCAAATGTGCTTTACTTGGAGATAAGCTGTTATTTTTACTCTAAGTTTTAAAAAGTTTTAGATTTATGTTATATGTTTTCCTCACATGTATGTCTTGTGTCACATGCACACCTTGTGCCAACAGAAGCCAGAAGAAGGTGTTGGATCCCCTGGAACTGCAGTTATGGGCAGTTGTGATCTGCCGTGTGGGTGCTGGGGATCGAACCTGGGTCCTCTAGCAAGAAGAGATGCTTCAACTGCTGAGCCATCTCTCCAGGCTTATCCTGAGTTTTTCAGGTTAACAATGAGGTCAAACCAGGCGGTCTCATGCCTATAATCCTAGCACTCAGAAGGCAGAAGCCCAAGGATTGATGTAAATTCAGAGCCAGATTGGTTTATATAGAGCAGTGGCTCTCAATCTTCCTGATGGTGCAACCTTTTAATACAGTTCTTCATGTTGCGGTGACCCCTGACCGTAAAATCATTTCTTTGCTACTTCATAATGGTAATTTTGCTACTGTTATAAATCATAATGTAAATATCTGATATACAAGATATCTGATATGAGACCCCTGTGAAGGGGTCATTTGACCTGAAAAGCGGTCTCAACCTACAGGTTGAGAGCCACTGATTTAGTGAGTTCTAGGTCAGGCAGGGCTACATAAACAGACCTTGTTTATTGTGGTTGTGGTGGTTGATATTGATGATAATGATGATGCAATAAGGACATAATTCAACGAGTAGGATGCTTGTCTAGTGTGGCCCAAAGCCCTGGATTTGATTCCAGCACGGCAGAAAAGCAGGTACTGTGGTATATGCTTGTGACCCCAGCACTAGGGAAGTGGAGGGAGACAGATCAGAACTCAGTTATCCTCAGTTAGAGTTTGAGGCCAGCCTGAGCTACAAGAGACCCTTTCTCAAAACAGTGCTGATGGTGGTGATGCTAGCAATAATAACGACGGTGTTCTGTTGCTGAAGCCTTGCAGTGTCTTAGCCTTGCAGGTTCCCACACCAGCACCTGTGCCACGTTTACAGTCGCTTCCATCACTGTTTTCTGGGTGGTCATCGACCCCATACAGCATCTTCGTTTGTAAACTGCTACCGCCTCAGCTCACACTATTTCTATCCCCAGTGATGTCATGTGCCTCCAGATGGCAAAAGAAGCTGCTAAATTGCTCCCACGTCCTTGAGATCCCGCTCACCCCTGCTCATCACACTTATCTGGCAAAAATCAATGAAATGGATGAATGAATGGACGATTCCAGTACATGAATTCAAGAACCCCCCTCCGTTCCCGGGGTTGATGGTCCTCAGGCAGCTCTTCCTTGATTGACATCCACATCCATCCTCCTACAGAGGAGATCCCAGCCAGGCATCCAGCAGG